ACCGCAACGCCGCACTCCGCGGCCTCTGCCCGCTCGCCGTCCGCCCGGCCGTCCATCCGGAATGTTTCCCCACCTTCGGATTGGCGTCGGAAGGCCGGGGGGTGACGTCGTCTCGACGGCCTGCTGCGCGGCGATCGCCTTAAGGGCCGCTCGGTCGCCTCCCCGGACCCTGCTCGGTGGCCTCACCGGACCCCGGTGAGGCCGCCGCGCTTCCGTCGGCAAACGTCACCGATGCCGTCGACCTCCGCACCGCCCGTCGCGTCGCCCGAAAGGTCCCGGCTCCGCAATAGGGCCTCCGCCATAGGGCCTCCGCCGTAGGGCCTCCGCCGTAGGGCCTCCGCCGTAGGGCCTCCCCCGTAGGGCCTCCGCCGGGTGCAAGCGCTCGGGTCGCGAGCGCCCACCAAGGGGCGGCTCAGCGACTCGCTAACCGCTGAGCCACGCCCCCCTCCTCCCCCCCCCCCCCCCCCGACGCACTCGATATTACAAATGCCCCACGCGCGCGCGCCAGGCTAGGTGCACCTCGAGGCGCGTCGCGTTCCGTCGCGGAGGGCTCGCCCGCCGGCAAGGAGGATGCCGCGGGGCAGAGCCGGCTGGCGCGGACTTGTGCACGACCGTGGTGGAAGGCAGATGCTCCAGCTGCGTGGGGGTGGGGGTAGTTGGGGGGGTTAGGGGTGCAGGGGGGGGGGGGCGAGGGGGGGCGGGGGTCACGCGTCTCACCTCGAAGGCCTCCTCGTCCAGGATGCGGGTGCCGAAGACGGCGATCCCGTTGACGTCGATCCGCGAGCCGGCGAGGGAGCGCGCCAGGGGCCTCGTCACGCTCCTCCGGCAGTCCAGCGTCAGCGTCACGTTCTGCCCGCGCACGCTCAGTGCCACGCGGTGCCACCTGCGGCGGGGGTGGGGGGTGGGGGTGGTTAGTCGCGGTGGGGGGGGGGGGGGGGGGTTGGAGGGGCAGGCGAGAAGGGGCAGCCGGAGGAGGCAATGGTGGGTTTCAAGGGCGGAGGAAATGGGGCACGTTCCCGATTGGGTCACATTCCCGAGATTGGGTCACATTCCCGATTGGGGCACATTGCGGATTCTGGGACATTCCCCATTGGGTCACATTCCCAATTGGGGCACATTGACGCTTCTGTCACATTCCCAATTGGGTCACATTCCCAATTGGGTCACATTCCCAATAAGGTCACGTTCCCAATTGGGTCACATTGCCGATTGGGGAATCCCACCCTGAGACTTCCCCCAGACATTGTAAAGTTCTTTGGTTGTTGAACAGGGGAATTGCATTTGAACGTTAAAGACGCAGTCGCAGCAACAGCACCACCACATCGACGTTTCACTCTGGAACATTTCTCCATCTCTTTCATTTTATTACATCTCTATCTCACTACATCTCTATCTCACTACATCTCTATTTCACTACATCTCTATCTCACTACATCTCTATTTCGCTACATCTCTATCTCGCTACATCTCTATCTCACTACATCTCTATCTCACTACTTCTCTATCTCACTACATCTCTATCTCACTACATCTCTATCTTACTACATCTCTATCTCACTAAATCTCAATGCATTTCTATCTCACTACATCTCACTACATCTCTATCTCACTACATCTCTATCTCACTATATCTCCATCTCACTCCTCCTCCATCTCTCTCTTGTCTCACCTCACACCACCACCCTTCTCTCCCCACATCTGCCACTTCAGTAAACAAGAACGACCCCCACACAATCCGACGCCTCTCCGCCCCCCCCTCCCCCCCCCCCCACACTCCCCACTCACTTTCCGTCTGCAAGGTTGAGCCCTTTGAAGATGGGATACTCTTCGGGGGGCGGCAGACCGTTCTGATCCTCGTAGAGGAACACGGGCGATCGTCCCACCTCGAGGCCCAGCTGCTGCATGCCCTGCTCGCTGTAGAGCGAGAGCAGGAATGCCTGCGTGCCCTTGCGCGCACGCACCGTCAGCACCATGGAGAAGTCCACGGGGAACTCCGAGTCTGCGGTCGGGGGAGGGAGGGGGGGGGGGGTGGCGAGGAGTGGAGAGATGAGAGGTGAGATGAGAGATGATCGAGAGATGCGAGCAAGTGTTGGAGAGAGAGAGATGGGAGACGAAAATACGAGCGTGAGAGAAAGATGAGAGAGATGAGAGAGAGACGAGAGAGATGAGAGACAGAAATACGAGCGTGAGAAAGATGAGAGATGAGAGAGAGACGAGAGAGAGATGAGAGAGATGAGAGAGATGAGAGAGAGAGAGACGAGAGGGAGATGAGAGAGAGACGAGAGAGATGAGAGAGAGATGAGAGAGATGAGAGCGAGATGAGAGAGAGACGAGAGAGAGATGAGACACGAGAGAGAGATGAGAGAGAGAGATGAGAGAGATGAGAGAGAGATGAGAGAGATGAGAGAGAGATGAGAGAGAGATGAGAGAGAGATGAGAGAGGGAGACGCAATCGCGAGCGTTTGCGTGAACATCCACGCCGAGAGGGGCGTGGGTAATCGGGGAAGGGGGGCAGAAAGGCAAAGGTGGCAGAGCGTGGGGGGCCGACCTGCACACCGCGAACTCAACGCATTGATGGGAGGCGATTTTCGGCCGATTTCCATCCATCTCCAACCATCTCCATCCATCTCCAACCATCTCCATCCATCTCCAACCATCTCCATCCATCTCCAACCATCTCCATCAATTCCCTCCCATTTCCATCCATCTCCAACCATCTCCATACATCTCAACCATCTCCAACCATCTCCATCCATCTCCATCCATCTCCATACATCTCCAACCATCTCCAACCATCTCCATCCATCTCCAACCATCTCCATCCATCTCCATCCATCTCCAACCATCTCCACCCATCTCCATCAATTTCCTCCCATTTCCATCCATCTCCAACCATCTCCATCCATCTCCAACCATCTCCATCCATCTCCAACCATCTCCATCCATCTCCACTCCTCCACGCTCACGACGACCGCTCGAGATTCCCGTGGACGTCGTTCGCAAGGAGCTGGGGCCGCGCCAACGACGATCACGGCGCAAACGATTGAATGGCTCATTTGGGACAGCAAAGACAAAGATCCCCCGTATAGGCTTAACAGACTGTAAGGGGCAAGTGCTGCTAGCGAGCATCTACGGAGGCCAGAACGGCACACGAGGGGGTTGGTGGCCATCACCACGTCCGGCCGCCTTTGTCTCCCCAGTGACGATGTTTACTACACGTCGCACCGGCTACTCATTTTGAGGCTGAGTTGACCTACGGGAGGCCCAGGACCGCTTCAGACAATCCCTATCACTGGGTGTCGGCCCTGAGCCGGAATCGAACTCGGGAACGCGGGGTTCGTGCCGCAGCGTCGCGCTGACCGCTACACCACCATCATCACCAGCACCAACGGAAGCCTCCGGGTTCGTGGTACCGGGCCACCCACACCTCACCGGCCACTGGTGTTTTAAGGCTGAGTCGACCTAGGGGTGCACGCCCAGGATCGCCTCGGACATTCGCCGCTCGTCACTCGGTCACTCGGTCACGGGAGTCGAACCGGGGTCGCGGGGGGTGAGGGTTTGTAGCTAGGTGCTCTGGCCATCGTCCGCTCGTAAACACTCGCTGGCGTTCACGTCACAGACGTGTCCCTGTCGTGCTACGCACGTGAAGTGATTTACACAAAGCGGACACCGACGGTACACAAGCACAGAAAGTCTAGATTTGAAGCTTTCGTGACTGCAAGGATCCATGCTCTTTGGTTCTATTCGGTAAAGTCACGTAGTAGGTAAAAAAATAAAACAACAAAAAATCACGAACGTTTCGGCCACAACACAAGCGGCCTTCATCAGGTGAAGGGACCAGACTGTCTCGAGGACAGCGCTGGAGTGAACACAGCCAAGCTCAGACCGCGACCTTTAAGCTGTGTGAGAGGAATTAAGGTGCCTTGACAAAGGCACCTTAATTTATGCTAATTCCTTTGCCAAGGCACCTTAATTCCTCTCACACAGCTTAAAGGTCGCGGACTGAACTTGGCTGTGTTCACTCCAGCGCTGTCCTCCAGACAGTCTCGGTCCCTTCACCTGATGAAGGCCACTTGTGTTGTCGGCCGAAACGTCGTGATTTTTTGTTGTTTTATTTTTTACCTACGTGACTTTACCGAATAGAACCAAAGCGTAAAGCACACAAAGACAAAGATTCACTCCCCATCGCCGTGTAGCCTTAACGGGCTGCTGGGGCAAGTGCCGTTCGCGAGCAGGCCGGAACAGCGCACAAGCGGGTGGCTGGCCAGCACCACGCCCGGCCGCCTTTGTCTACCTCCCAGCGGCGGTGTTTTGCTACACACCGAACCAGGCACACATTTTGTGGCTGAGTCGACCTAGGGGGAGGGGACCCAGAACCGGTTCAGATAATCGCCGGTGGTCTCGGTGGCAGGAATCGAACTCGGGTCGCCGGGTTCGTAGCGCAGCCCGCGACTACACCACCAGCCCCCCACACAATCGTCCGTCGAGGCAAATGCTGTTAGCGAGCGCCTATTAAGGCGCGCGAGGTTACCTTCTGCAGCGCACAATGCAGGAGCAAAGGCGCAGCCCTGCAAATGCCGGCGCACGCCACTGTTGGTCTGGAAAGGGGGGGGGGGGGTCTCTTCCACGACGGGGGGATATCTAGAGAGCCCCTTCCTCCGCAATGGCATTTGGCCTACTCCTCCACGCCTGATCCAGGCGTCGTGAAGGACGTGGGAGTGCCCACATTTTACCCCAGCCGACACGGCCTGTCGATCGATCGACCGCGGCGATGACGGAGTGGAAGGAGGTGGTGGGGATTATTCTAGAAGCTCGCCATCGTTGTTCCAAACTGCGGCGCCGTTGAGATAGGGATGACGTGGGGGGGGAGGGTGGGGGGGAGAGTCAACATTGAGGTTTGCCAATGATCCGGTCGAAGGACCTCAACTTGTAATGCAAGGCAGAGACGCTGCGAGGCAGGGGTGGTGGTGGTGGTGGTGGGGTCCAACCGAGGATTCCCTCCGCGCGCTGTGTCCACAACGCCCGTCCATTACGCGTGGCTGGGATGCGTTTGCCCAGCACTCGTAGTGTTCGTGGCAAAGGGGAGGGAGGGAGGGAGTGGAGGGAGTGGAGGGAGTGGAGGGAGGGAGTGGAGGGAGGGAGGCAGTGGAGGGAGGGAGTGGAGGAGTGGAGGGAGTGGAGGGAGGGAGTGGAGGGAGAGAGTGGAGGGAGTGGAGGGAGGGAGTGGAGGGAGTGGAGGATGGGAGTTGAGGGAGGGAGTGGAGGGAGTGGAGGGAGGGAGTGGAGGGAGGGAGTGGAGGGAGTGGAGGGAGGGAGGGAGTGGAGGGAGTGGAGGGTGGGAGTGGAGGGAGGGAGTGGAGGGAGGGAGGGAGTGGAGGGAGGGAGAGAGTGGAGGGAGGGAGTGGAGGGAGGGAGTGGAGGGAGGGAGTGGAGGGACGGAGTGGAGGGAGGGAGTGGAGGGAGGGAGGGAGTGGAGGGAGAGAGGGAGAGAGTGGAGGGAGGGAGTGGAGGGAGTGGAGGGAGGGAGTGGAGGGAGCGAGGGAGGGAGTGGAGGGAGGGAGTGGAGGGAGTGGAGGGAGGGAGTGGAGGGAGTGGAGGGAGGGAGTGGAGGGAGGGAGTGGAGGGAGTGGAGGGAGGGAGTGGAGGGAGGGAGTGGAGGGAGGGAGTGGAGTTGAGGGAGTGGAGGGAGGGAGTTGAGGGAGGGAGGGAGGGAGTTGAGGGAGTTGAGGGAGGGAGTGGAAGGAGGGAGTGGAGTTGAGGGAGGGAGGGAGTGAGTTTAGGGAGTTGAGGGAGGGAGTGGAGGTAGTGGAGGGAGGGAGTGGAGGGAGTCGAGGGAGTGGAGGGAGGGAGTGGAGTTGAGGGAGGGAGGGAGGGAGTGGAGGGAGTTGAGGGAGGGAGGGAGTGGAGGGAGGGAGTGGAGGGAGGGAGTGGAGGGAGTGGAGGGAGGGAGTGGAGGGAGTGGAGTTGAGGGAGGGAGGCCAGCCCCATTATGGAACATCATGGTCCATGTGTTGCCTACAGCTCTGAGTGTGTGTTAGTGTTTGTGTGTCATCTCATTCAGTCAGTCATCTCACTGCCGGTCATCTCATTCATCGACACTCGGGAGACAAAGGCGGCCGGGCGTGGTGTTGGCCATCCACACCAACGTTGTAACGTGCTGGCCTTAACAGGCGCTCGCTAACAGCACTTGCCCCCCAAACAGTCCGTTCCAGGCAATACGGGGGGGCGGGGGGGGGGGGCGGGATATGTGCCTTTGTTGTGCGCGTGTGTAAATGTGAGGGGTGTGATCGATGCCCAGGTGCGGTCAAGGGTCGGCTCCCTACTGGTCAACACTGGTGCCGAACCTGGAGCGTGCCACTCAGAGGCGGGGGCTTTATACCATCAAGCCCCTGCTAAAACAAAACACCTGCCCGGGTGTTTTATGCCGTCAAAGACTCCCAACCCCCTGAGAAGTCTCCATGAGTGATGGGGTGGTTATAGAGAGGGAGGAGGGGATGGTCCCATACCTGGACAGTGTGCTCATGGGCCAGCTATGAATCGAGTGGATAATGAGCGACTGCATTGGTGACTACACACAATGCTTATCCTTTCTCTCGGTCACCACGGTGGCTAGGAGATGTTAACTACCTCGCCTGGTCTACAGGAGGTCGTGGGTTCGATCACAGCTCTGACGCCTGCTGCTGTATATTTGAAGTTTGCGTGTCTCTCTCTCATCATCAACAAGGTGGCTAGGAGATGTTAACTACCTCGCCTGGTATACAGAAGATCGTGGGTTCGATCTCAACTCTGACGCCTGCTGTATATTTGGAGTTTGCGTGTCTCTCTCTCTCATCATCATCAATGTGGCTAGGAGATGTTAACTACCTCGCCTGGTCTACAGGAGGTCGTGGGTTCGATCCCAACCCTGACGCCTGCTGTATATTTGGAGTTTGCATGTCTCTCTCTCACCATTATCAAGGTGGCTAGGAGATGTTGATTACCTCACCTGGTATACAGGAA